GAGCATGTGTGTCCACACTCACACACACTCATCACATTTGCCACGTGCAACAACAATAGTAAGCAACACAGCCGGGCGGTGGTGGTGCACGCCTTTAGTCCCAGCAGCACTTGGGAGGCAGAGGCAGGCAGATCTCTGTGAGTTCAAGGCCAGCCCGGTCTACAAGAGCTAGTTCCCGGACAGCCTCCAAAGCCACAGAGAAACCCTGCCTCGAAAAACAAAACAACAACAACAACAAAAAAATAAAAACAAATAGTAAGCAACCCAGAGCAGCATTGCAATTGTAGATCTTGTTTGCTCGTGTTCTTTTCCTGAGACTTTGTCTTCCAGGGTAGCCCAGGCTGGCCTCAGGCTTTTGGTTTTCTTTCTTTCTCAGTCTTCCAAATGCTGGGCTTTCAGGTGCGGACTACCACACGAGGCTAGACCCTTGGTTTTTAAAAGTATTCAATGTTGGGAATGTAGCGCAAAGGTAGAGTGCTCACTTAGTGTTTGTAAAGTCCTGGGTCTCATCTCAAACTCTGGAAAAAAAAAAACAAAGCCAGGTGGAAAAGTTGGTGTGGTGTGCATGCCTGATATCCCAGAGCATGGGAAGTAGAGGCCAGCTTTGGCTATATAGGAAGTTTGAGGCTACCCTGAGTTGTACAAGACCCAATTTCAAAAACAAAATAAGATAAAAACAACAGAAGCACTTGGTAGGTACCCTTACCATGTCCATTGTCAGGTCCAGTACTGGGGCAAGGTTCAGAAATACTGCATCCATGATGCCTTTTGCTCTGATCAGGCTGTCCTGCTGTAATTTAGAGGAATAAGAGAAAGTTGGGTAATAAGTATAGTGGAGCAAGTGTGTAATCCCAACGCTCAGCCCACTGAGACAGGAGGCTTGTGAGTTCTAAGCCAGTCAGGGCTAAACAGGAGACCATGTCGGGAAAACAAAACAAAAATGCACAGTAGAGGATTTAACCTAGAAAGATCCCTTGGGGCTGTAGGTGGTCACGTTTTTGAAGGTGAAAACAAAAACAGAGGCCAAGGCAAATCCCTCTAGCTCAATCCTTCTTCCTTCCTCCTTCCCCTTCGTCAAGGCTGAGCCTAGAAACATGAAGAGGATCAAGACAGCACCTCTCTCAACAGTCGATGGACTGGCAGTGAGATTCAGGCAGACCCAAGCCTAGACCCCTGTATGACTCTCCCCAACAGGCTGGCCTTCCCCTTCCCACACGTCTGTACTTCTGCAAGCCTGTGTTCTGCTTTGATACTTAGTGCGCCACAGTTCTCAGCATATTCTGCTACATATGGCTCTCCCTCTTCCTCTCCCTGTCCCTCTCCCTGTCCCTCTCCCTGTCCCTTTCCCTCTCCTTCTCCCTTTCCCTCTGTGTGTGTGTACATGTGGAGGTCAAAGGACAGTTTCAGGTCACACATTTTGTTTTTGTGAGAGAGCATCTCCCATTGGCTTGGAGTCCACCAATTAGGCTAGGCTGGTCGGCCAGCAAACCCCAGCCATCCTCCAGTTGCTGCCTCCCCAGAGATGGGATGACAGCAGTCTGCCAGTTTTGTTTGTTTGTTTTTGAGACAGGGTTTCTCTGTGTAACAGTCCCAGCTGTCCTGGAACTGGCTTTGTAGATCAGACTGACCTCGATTAAAGGTGTGCACTACCACTGCCTGGCTTTTGTCTGACAATTTTTTTGTTTTGATTTTCTGAGACAGGGTTTCTCTGTATAGCTTTGGAGGCTGTCCTGGAACTAGTTCTTGTAGACGGCTGGCCTTGAACTCACAGAGATTTGTCTGGCAATTTTTAGCGTGGGTTCTGAGGGCCCCGTGTTGGCACTTTACCAGCTGAGCCATCTCCCCAGCACTGAGTGCGACTTTCATGTGTTCAGTTTTGTCATCTCATATTGTGAACTCACTGAGGGCTGGGGACATTTATGGCCTTTTGTTTAGCTCAGATGCCTGTACAAGTTGTTACAAATCACTGCTGGACAAGCATACTTATCACCATACTGAATAAGGATGGTCTTATAGGCGACTGGGGTATCAGCCAAGTGTAGGCCACAGCCTTCAGGAGTGATAGTTACTTTCAATCAGAAATCATGGTATTGGAACAGTTGGTTTTGAGGAGAAACTCAACCCCCTCCATGGTAGCAGATTCAACTGTAGTTGTGGTGTAATGCCTGATCTTCTCTGCAGGGAGAGGAGTGTGTTCTCTCAGGAGGCAGGGTAGCAGTCTGAATATTCCTCGTGTCATTTCAAACACTGATCCTATTTCAACAAGTGCTAGACACTGTGTTGCTAAGCAGCTTTTCAGGATCACCACACTTAATCTTGGAAAAAACACTGTGAGAATCACTGTTATTCTTATTTTACAGAATGTAACAGGAAAGATAAAGTTACTTCCTGCTGTCTGGGGGCAATGGCATCTTTAGGGGATCCTGAAAAGAAAAATTTGGGTTAACTGTCAATCTGTATCATTTTTGTTCAGTCTATGCATAATGGGAAAGTGCAGGGCTTTCTCAAGTGCTGGCTAGAGGAGTCTGTGAGGTTGGAACATCTCAACCGGTTTCCTTGAAATTGTTCTGAGCAGTTTGTAGTCCAAAGCTGATCTTTAGTTGAGTTGTTCATCATGATGGTGTTGTGATAGTCCTGGTGAAATTGTCATTTTGGGGCTTCCTCCTCCTTTTGGAGACTTCAAAGATCTCTGTTAACTGTGGTCATAGTTCACTGCAGAACACTGGTAGAGGCTCAAACCTGAAATCACATACAGGAAGGTAGAGGAAACCTTTTTCTAGAATTAGTTAGTATTCTATATGACCATTAATATCACGACAAAAACTCACAGAGATCTGCCTGCCTCTGCCTCCCGAGTGCTGGGATTAAAAGTGAGCACCACCAATGCCCAGCCTCTTGGGACATTTTTTTTCTGGATTATTTGTCCCTTTTCTTCAGATGTCTCAGTTGTCTAGTGGTCTCTGGATTCCTTAGTTGGATCCCTTTATTCTCCTGAAAATACAAAGTTAAAACCTTTCCCCAACCCTAAATTCTGGGGAGGTTCTCTTTTGTCAAGTTCTGTCGGATCAAATGAAAAGCATTTGTTTGTTTTATAGCTTAGTTTAAATGGCCTTGCTGCTTGAAGAACCATCATCTCTTATAATTAAGAGGTGTCTTCCTCAAATTGAATCTTCATTAGTTTTGATGATATCCATAACTTTTCTTCACCTGTGGAAACGAAAGCAAAACCTCTTCCCCACCTGACACATGTTCTGGTTTCCATTCAGAGGTCAGCTCATCTTTAAAGTATACGGGCTTGCTTGTTTTAATTTGACACAAGCTAGAGTCATTGAAGAGGAGAGAATCTCAGTTGAGAAAGTGCCTTCATAAGATCTGCCTGTAGGCAAGCCTGTAAGGCATTTAAAAAATATTTATTTATTTACAATTTAATTGTGTATCCAGTGTTTTACCTGCATATATGTCTGCACACCAGAAGAGGACACCAGATCTCATCAAAGATGGTTGTGAGACACATTGTGGTTGCTGGGAATTGAACTCAGGACCTCTGGAAATGCAGTCAATGCTCTTAACTTCTGAGCCATCTCTCCGGCCCCATAAGGCATTTTCTTAATTAGTGATTGATATGGGAGAGCCCAGGCCGTTATGGGTGGTGCCACCCCTTGGCTGGTTGTCCTACCCCTTGACTGGTAATCCTGGGTTCTATTGGAAAGCAGGCTCAGCAAGCCAGTAAACAGCACCTCTCCATGGCCTCTGCATCAGCTCCTTGTAAATTTTACAGCCGAGATGGAAAGGGATCCTTGCAGTTGGGAGCCAAAGAATACAATAAAGTCACACCATACAACCAACTTCACACCTGAGAATTATTGAGAGGGAAGAATCCAGGAGGGTGTCTGCCTCTGCTTGGATGAGACGCCATGTGAACTGGGCAGAACACAAGGTTTATATAGGGCTTCTTGGAGATAGGGGAAAGCTTTCTAGGGTGACCTGGGACTGGAGGGATTATGTGGCCTGATCTTGGGGCCAGCTCAGGTATTGGTGGGATTTTTTTCTCCTGTAGGGCGGAGCCTGAGCACTCTCTTTCCAGGGGCTGGGAAAGGCTATTACAGAGTTTAGGAAATGGCGGTTAGTGTGTTTAGGAAAGCCTGAGGTGCAGGACCTCACACAGTTTACAAAGTATAACAACAGTTTTGAAGGGAGTGTGTGCTCACTTCAGGGGAAGCATTCCCTGCTGCGTGAGTTGTCATGGATTGCCAACACTCCTAACTCCAGGTTCCTGCCAGTTTGAGTTTTAAAATGCACTGCTCACGGAGTAACTAGAAGAAAAAGGTCTGTATACATTCACTATAGACTCTCCTTAACTTCTACTCTGAAAGTTTTAGCTCTGCTCTTGGTTCTGGAAACAAGGTTGACCATAGGAGACCCACCATTCTTGGCTGACATTCTCTGCCTCAGTCTTGCATTCAGAGAGTCAACATTTTATTACTGTGTGTGTCTCAATAAGTTTACTTAGGGTTACTTGCAGGAATATGTGCAGTTTACAACTGGCTATATACTGAGGAAAATGTCTTTCCTTCCCTCTTACAATCTATGGTTCCTGGGTAAGTAGGGCATAAGGGGTCATGAGCCCTCCCCCACTAGTAACCTTTAACTGCCTACAGAACTGCGATGGGCGGGGCTTCACAAGCCCTTCCCATTGAAGTGACTCCTAAAGTCAATTTAAAAAACAATAGTTTCAACCTATTGGAGTGAGTGTGGAAAGTGTAGATCCTAAAAGTCGGCGGAATTACACAGATTAATAAAAAAAAAAAAACCGAGAAACTACATCTCCCGGCAGGCCTCGGGACAGTTTCTGGCCTACCCTTTTTTTTTTTTTTTGCATTGTGTCTCCAATGACAGTTAGATATTTGAATAGACCAATAGTAGTATGGAACTGCTCATCTGTAGGCGGGGACCTAGGTTCATCCAATCCTATTTGGGTTACGAAAACATCTTAACCAATCTCGGGGCTCGGGGGCGGAGCCTGAGGCGGGACCGCGGACCGAAGTGCCGCGGAAGATGGCGGCTGAGGAGCTGAGTGGAGGGGAGGTACCGGCCTGCAACTCCGGCCGGAGGTGAGCCAAGTTTTCAGTCCCGCTGCCTAGGAGACGGGGCTGTGGGCTGGCGATGTCGCCGCCCTGCCCTTGAGTCACCGTGGCCCACAGGGCCGGGCTTTGTTCCTCGCTCCCGTGGTGTCCACGCCGTCGTGTCTGCGGAGGCAGAGGCACGTCGCTGCGATCTGTGCTCCCGGCCCCAAGTGGGGCCGGTCAGCCGCTCTGGCTGCAGACTCCGGTCCGTGACGACCGGTACCGAGCTCGTCCGCCGCTTTGGCTGCAGACTCCGGTCCGTGAAGACCGGTACCGGGTTCGTCAGCCGCTCTGGCTGCAGACTACAGTCCGTGACGACCGGTACCGGGGCCGGTCCGCCGCTCTGGCTGCAGACTACAGTCTGTGACGACCGGTACCGGGCTCGTCCGCTGCTCTGGCTGCAGACTACAGTCTGTGACGACCGGTACCGGGCTCGTCCGCTGCTCTGGCTGCAGACTCCGGTCCGTGAAGACCGGTACCGGGTTCGTCAGCCGCTCTGGCTGCAGACTACAGTCTGTGACGACCGGTACCGGGCTCGTCCGCCGCTCTGGCTGCAGACTCCGGTCCGTGAAGACCGGTACCTGCCCTAGCACTGAGCCTTTTGAATGGAAAACTGAAGTCCAGAGTGCCCCCGGCGTCATTGGAGCTTTAAATGTCCTTCGGGGATACTTACAGTCACAGCAGGGACTTGAGTGACTGTTAGAAAGGGATTTCTCCCCAGGCTGCCTGACCTCTCTCGGCTTCAGTCTTGTCTGTAAACGAACATAACAATACTTCTTTTAGAATATAGACGGAGTGGTAAGCACCTGGCACCCAGCCTGGCAAATAGTATTCGAAATGTGATAGATTTTGTGTTTCCTTGGAGAACAACCGAAAACAGCACATCCTGGGTTCTACTGTCCATGAAGTTGTGACTTCATTTCTTCTTTCCTAAACGGGAAAGCCGAGCCAATCTTAATCGATTACAGATGTTGGGAACCGATACACTCCAATAGAAAGGGTGTATGGCATTGTCTCAGAATATGATCATTACTATACTTTGGTACCGTTGGTAAGGAACAGAAAAGTTTAGAATTTTGAGAAACTGGGTTTGTGAGCCTGACTCTTCTTGAGCACAGATGGGTTTGTTTGGGTATATTAGGGTTTTCTATGGAGGAGTTTCCTAGTCTTTGACCTACCCATAAATGATTGACACCCCCTCACTCACCCTGAACTGTGATGTGGGTTGATAAATGTCACTAGATCATGCCTCATCCAACTCGAAAATCCTGAATTGTAATGAAAATGAGGACAAATGAAATACTGTTCTACAGCAAGAGGACTCTGAATTCTTTCCCCAAGGCTACTGCCAACAGAATGTAAAAATTTAAACTGTTAACCACATGATCTTGCTAAGTAGCTAGGCTGGATTGGAACCCCCAATCTTGCTTCAGCTTTCTCAGTACTAATTAATTGCATATTGCAGGATATAAGTTCGGGGTTCTTGTGAGACTTAGCAATAACTATTAACTATTTACTTTTTTGTTGTTGTTGGTTTTCTTTTTGCTTTTTTTTTTTTTTTAAGACAGGGTTTCTCTATGTAGCCCTGGCTGTCCTGGAACTTGCTCTGTAGAACAGGCTGTCATTGAACTCAGAGATCTGCCTCCCGAGTGCTGGGATCAAAGGTGTGCACCACCACTGCCCTGCTTATTATTTTTTGAAACAGTCTCATGTAACCCAGGGTAACCCCAATCTTAAGCTTCTGATCCTCCTGTCTCTATCTCCCAAGTGCTGGGATTACAGGCCTGTGCCACCAAGCCCAGTTGTATGTGGTGCTAGGAATCAAACCCAGGACTTCATGCATTCTAGGCAAGCATTCTACTGACTGAGTTGTATTCCCAGCACTATTTAATTCATGGGACTAAAAAGATTTAAATCTGTTACCTATCTTATGTATGTGTGTGTACACAGGTGCCACAGTAGATGCCTGTGAGGTCAGAAAACTCACACATGGAGTTGAGGGTCAGACTTGGGTTGTCAGGCTTGGCAGTAAGTGCCTAATAGCCATCTCCCTGGCTCAAGCAAGGTGCATAGTTTAGCATTCACAGATATGTTGCATAGCTCTTTCTTTCTGGTGTCTCTAGTAGATCTGAGGAAAGCTTCCTTGAGATCCTGAGATCCATGTATTGCAGGAGTGGGTATAGGAATGGCTGTAGATTCAGTACTGGGCAGTAATGTGAGTAATTAATACCTATTGGGATGAACAGTGCTTGCTCTAGGAAGAAAAGCCTAGGAAAAGGAGAGAAAAGGGAGGGGTGACAGCTGTCTGTTAGACACTGAGATGTTCAGGCTCGGTTAGCAGGATTTCTCATATTGAGCCTTGGTAGCACTCTCTGGAGTTGGGTGTCCCCTGCATTTGGATTGTCTTCACTGCTACAATCTGGAGGAGTCGAGCTTTGTGCCAGTTTACTGAGCAAACCCATTAAGAACAGATATCATGAGTCTAAATTCTTCAATCTCTGTTTCAAATAGCAACGACTTAACAGTCTGCTTAGTAAATGCTAGGATAAAATTTGAATTTGTAAAGTGCTGTTATTTAAAAAATTTTAAAAATAGCTAGGTGTAAAATTCCATGATCTTGAATTAGGAGATTTAGAAAAGGGACAAGTTGATCTAGAGGGTTGAATGTTATTTTATTAACTGAAGCCCCCAATTGGGATTTTGCTGATTCCATCAATTTAGAAGAAACTAGAATTAAAATCTCATCTTTGGAATATAGTTTGCTATTTGGTAGGGGCCATTTAAAGTAACTTACTGCATTTTTTCTTCTTATGAAACCAGATATTTTATTTACAGTGTGAAGCAGTTGCTACTGTATATCATAGGTCCAGGCATTTGTTTCTGGGCTCTCTACTTTCCTTGTCCACTTTGCTTCTTGTTTTTCATCTATTTGGTAAGTGAAAACATGCAAAAACTAATAAATATGAACCATAGAGAGCCCAATAGTGCAAAGAGCACTTTGAGCCTTCCTCCTTTCCAAGGTCTGTGTCACCAGAGTATCTTGAGCCTAATTGGGTGCTTCTCCCCTGTTCCTCCCATGTATATTGCCCCCACCTCTCTTCTTTTGGGGCATTACTGAGGTATCTATTGTGAACTATACCCCAATCCCTGTCATTCTTTTGCTTTAAAATCAAGATGGTTTAGGTGGGTGTGGCGGTGAATACCTGTAACCCCAGCACTAGTGAGGTAGAGCAGGAAGCAGGAGCTCAAGGTCAGCCTCATCTTATACAGAGAGTTTGAAGCCAGCCCGGGCTACATGAGATCCTGTCTCAAAAACAAAACAACCAAAACCAAAGTCCATCATGTTGGGCAATGAATATATGCTATATAATAACTGGTGTAATCTCTATCTAACATTTTCCAGAATTGAAGATCAGGTATGCCCATACCTGTAAACCTCAGCACTAGGGTGGCTGAGGCAGCAGGATGGTGAGTTCAGGGTCAACTTGGGCTACGTTAGTGAGACCTGTCTTGAAAAACAAAACATCAAAAAACAAAACAAAGCAAATAAAAAAAAAACCTTTTCAAACTAATAAATTTTCAGTAAGATGCTCCAGAGCAAAAGCACAGACTGATTCTTGGACAGTATTCATTACTCTCATTTTGGAACACACAGATGTAGACATAGATTTGCTTCCAGTACTAATTACCTAGGACTCTTGAGATTTAAAGTCTATAGAAAATAAGCTTGCATTGGGTAGTGGTCCCAGCACTCAGGACACAGAGGCAGGAGGGTGTCTGTGAGTTGGAGGCCAGCTTGGTCAACAGAGTGAATTCTAGGATAGTCAGGGCCATACAGAGAAAGCCTGTCTCAGAACCCCCACACTCCCCCCCCCAAAAAAAGAAAACAAACTTGCAAATCTTTTGACTCTACTTGTTTGAGGAAAGAGAGATTTGACATAAGTGGGTAAGAGGGGAATCCTGTTAGTGAGATGTCCTATAGAACATTCGCCAAGCAGGGCAGTGGTGGCGCACACCTTTAATCCCAGCACTCGGGAGGCAGAGGCAGGCAGATCTCTGTGAGTTTGAGGCTGGGCTGGACCGACAGCCTCCAAAACAATATAGAGAAACCCTGTCTCGTAAAACCAAAAAAAAAAAAAAAAAAAAAAAAAAAAAAAAAGAACATTCCTCAAATAGAGAATTTTGATGTAACTTTAAAAAAGTAGTTTTATTTATGTGTACGTGTGTATGTCTGTGAGTATATACCACTTATGCCCTATGTATGCAGGTGCCCATAATAGGCCAGAAGAGGGTGTCAGGTCACCTTAAGCTAGAGTTACAGGTGGTTTTAAGCTGTTTGATGTGTGTGCTAAGAACTGCACTCCTGATCCTCTGGAAGATGAGCAAGCACTCTTAATCACTGAGCTGTCTTGCCAGTCTCTGATGCTACTTTAAAAGAGCAACAACATCCCCACCCCATTATTGTGTGTATGCCAGACACACTGGTGGAGGCTGGCCAGAGGACGGCTTTCAAAGGTTTGGGTACTAGAGCTCACAGGTGTCAGGCTTGGCAGCAAGCACCTTTACCCACTAAGCCATTTCACCAGCCCATTGGTGTTATTTTTATAATGCAACTATCTTCCTTCTCATTCTACATTGTTTTGGGGAAGGAAATTATGAAAGATGTCAACCACAAGAGTAATGCCAATTCTTCTGACGCTCAAAATAAACATTATTAATAAGCCACACTCTTCCATTAGATTCCAGTGTGTGGATAAGAATATAAGCTTAGCCCAGAATTCCTTCCCCTGTGGTTTGTCAGTTTTTCTTAAGTTGTTCTTGTAGCTTCAGGTTAGTTTAAGTTGAGATCAAATATAGGAGCTGAATACATTTTGCAGATGGTTGTAGCCTAGGAGATAAGTGTAAACATTGGGGCTCTAATGGAAAGAGATCCTGGTAGTTGGGAGCCAAGGAATACCCCAATGTCACCATAAGCATAGCAGCTTACA